AGATTAGTGGCTGTCTATGGGGTTTGAGTTGGGAGGAAATGGGGAGTGGCTGCTGATAGGTGTTTACTGGGGTGATGAAAATGTTTTAAAGTTTTGATGGTGGTAATGGTTACACAACTCTGTGAATATACTAAAAATCAATGAATTATACATTTTAAAAGGGTGAATTGTGTAACAGGTGAATTATATCTTAATAAAGCTTCTTATTTGAAAAGGGGGAGGGTACCTGGAAGGAAGTGGCAGAGGTGGAATCTCCATAAGCTTCAGATCAAACACCTTAGAACTATTGTTGCCTCTTCTTTTTCTCTCACCTCTCACATCCAGCTATGAGCGATCAAGGCAGCTCCCAAGGGACATGACCACGTCTCTCCTCTCCCACCGCCAGGCCCAAGCCAGCACCTCTCATCAGAACACCCACACCCCTTCTAGGCAGACTGCTGCCTCTCCCCTTGTTCCCAATGCTCTTTTCTCCACAAAGCAGCCAGAGGGGTCCTGTTAAAGCATTCCTGTCACATTTCCCTCCTGCATAAAAGCCTCCAATGGTCTAAAAATAAAATTCACTTGCAATTCAGAGCTGACCCTTGGCCACCTTTCCTGTCTCACTGCCCACTAACCACACTTGCCCTTCTAGACACACATCCAGCTCCAGGTGTCTGCACTGTGGCTCCTTATCCCTGCAATGGGCTTCCTCCAGGTACCAGCTACCCTAACATCACTCCAGGCTGTACTCAAATGTAACATGTCACCAGGACAGAGAGGCCTACCTGACCTCCCAGTCTAACCCAGAACCCCCCAACCCCCAGCTTGGCACCAGCTCGGCATACACTACCCCTGACCCACCTCATTTCCCTTCACAGCACTTTGACTACTTGACACAACACATACTTTTTGAAAAACCATGTCTCCACCACTATAGTGTGACATCCCTGGGGGCAGGGGCTTCATCCCAGAACCCCAGGACCATAACAATGCCCAGAACATAGTAGATACCAAAAAAAAAAAAAAAATGAATGAATGAATCCGGTGCCAAAGCCCTGCCTCTGGGATAATCTAGCAGAGAGACTGACAGCTGCTTTCACATACCCCTTACCGAAATCTGGGACCCCTTCTGCACCCTGTCAGTGCCATACCTGTGCCACTGATCACCTTGAATTGTACTTATATGTGAATGGCAGTAGTTTTCCACCAGACTGGAACTCTGGAAGGGCGAGGCCCTGAGCTGTAGACACCTAGCACAGTCCTGACAGCATATGTACATCTCCTGTTGACTAGGCAAGGAAGATAAATTTCAAAACCAACAGTGATTTGTCTGTTTGCAAATGCTGCAAAGGGACTACTATACTTTCCAGCCCACTGCCCTGAGAAATGCCTCAGCCCGTTTCCTCAGGAACCAAGACTGTGAAGAAAAGGTCAAGGGCTCCTTGGAATTCCTTGAATAGTGACCTGTACCAGGGAAAGCTCCTTGCCGAATGGAATTTGCCAGCTGAGCTCGGAAAGCCTGGGTGAATAGCAGACAAGCTAAACAGAAAGCAGTTTCACTAAATGCTGCTTTATCTTGAAGAGAAATAAAAGTGTGTGAGGCTAGCTTCAAGACAAAGTCCTGGCGTGTAAAGAGGGCTGTGCTTCTCACACACACGCGCTCACACACACACACACACCTTCAAGGGCTCTCCCTCTATCTACAGGATGTGCCGTGGAGTCAAGACCCTTCCTGGCCCAGTTCCCACTCTCCACTCCCATCATTCCAGGCCTCTCTGCCTCCCCTACATCAGGAACTACCATGAGCTCCTTCATGTTGTTCCCTTGGCTGGCATGCTCGTCCCTCCTTCCCAGGTGGCTGAAATCAGAGCACAGCTCAAGTGTTGCCTCCTTTGCGAAGCCTTTCTTTACCTCTCCTGGCCTATCACTCCTTTCTCCGACAGAAAACACTGTTCAGAGCTGTGGGTATCAGTACCTATCCAACCAGCCACCTCCTGTAAGGGTCTGATTTGGAGAAAACAATGGGTCATGCCCTCAGGGAACTGTCTGGTGGGGGAGACCAAAGCAAAGGAATAACTCACTAACTGTTGGGAAAAGGGGTAAGAAGGAATAAGGTGAGACACAATACAGACAATACAGACAGGTGGAAATGGGAGAAAACCAGGACGGGTGGTTGGGAAGGTTTCTTGGAAGAGGTGACATTAAAGTGGTACCCAATGGATGAGTAGGAGTTAGCCAAGCAAACAGTGAGGAAAAGTTTCCAGAAAGAGGGCTCATCACACAGAAAAGTGCCAAGGTGTGAAACAGTGGGCCTAGGAACCAAAAGGAGGCCTGAGTGGCTCCAGCCTCAGAGGGCTGGGAGAGTGGTGGGAGGATGGGGGCAGGCCACCTTGGAGGTCCTAATGGCTCTGAATTACCATTGCGGGTGATTCTGTCTCCCCTCACCTCAGAAAGGCAGAGTGCATTTTACTCCTCTCTGTCTCCTGTGCAGAGCAAGTCCCTTGGAGCACAGCGGGCATTCAACAAGTTCGTGTGCGCTACACTGTCCCGCGATGCGGGTGAGCGACCTCTTGCTCTGCCCATTCCCCTGACTCCAGTTGCCTCCCTAACTGAAGCACTGGGGAACGGTTAACCACAAGACTGGTGATAGAAACAGACGACACAACGGGAGAAGCTGTGAGAGCTACAGTTATGTTCCTGACAAATGCCACTGACAACCTGGTTGGCAAATGTGACCACCATGTGGTCCTTGGAGACCAGAGTCTCAGGTAAATTTCAATCAGATAGCAACTCTAGCACAAGAGGGCCTGCCAAAATCACATGCCCAGAGACTTCAGCGATCAATGTGAAGTTCAAAATACAGTTTCCAAGGTCAACTTTTTATTCACAACCCTTCTGACAATCAAATGTATGGGATTTTTCCCTCCACACAACAAACAATTCTCCGATTCTCCAGATATCAACTGGGTGTCCCACAATACTGATAATACCTGGAGTTAGCATAGGTTCCACAGGTTAAGGGCTCAGTCCCACAAAACTGCCCCCACTTCAGATGCCAGTCCAAAAGTGCCACTGTCCTTCTGATTAATAAATTGGCTATAAATTGGGGGTTCCCATGACCCACTCCCTCAGGTTGGATGATTGCTAGAATGGCTCACAGAACTCAAAAAGGGCCTTTAGTTAACAATTACCAATTTATTATAAAAGATGAAATTCAGGAACAGCCAAATGGAAGAAATGCATAGTGCAAGGTATAGGGAGAGGGACATGGAGCCTCCATGCACCTCCATGTGTTCACCAACCTGGGTGCTCCCCAAACCCCCATTGTTTAGGGCTTTTATGAGGTTGTATTACATTGACATGATTGATTAAATCAGTGGTCATCCCCTCAATCTCCAGTTCCTCTTCCCTCCCTGGAGGTCAGGGGCTGGAGCTGAAGTTACTGCCTTCCAATCATATGAATGGTTCCTCTGGAATCAGCCCCCCATCCTGAAGCTATCTAGGGGCCCACCTAGAGTCACTTGATTAGCATAAGCTCAGGTATGACTGAAAGGGGCTTGTAAGCAATACCAAAAGATACTGCTATTAAACCTTTCACTCAGGAAATTCCAAAGGTTGTAGGAGTTCTTCAGGGACAAAGACCAAATGTGTATTTCTTGTTGTATATATACTGTATTCAAATACACATTTCTGAATCACACAAGATAATTTCTTTATTTTTTTTTTTAGTAGTTCAAAAGATGAGACAAGTTGGTGAGTGACAGGAAATTCAAAGTTGCCAAGCTGTCCTGCCCAGTACCTCCCCCTCTGAATTAGCCCCCGGCCCAACCCAGCATTCTGCCACTTTCAAGAACATGCTCATAATTTTTCAAATCATACTTTGAACTCTTGCTAAGTGGCTAATGGATTTTGAACTTTTCTAAACTAGTAATTATTTAGGCTAAGCCAAGCTATAGTTTTTCATTATTTTTGGAAGGAAAGGTGGGATACAAGGACATTACACATTGTTTGAGGACATCTTATGAAGAAACACTATTAAAAATCATTTGCCTAGTCACACAGGCTACTGTCCTCTCTATGCTCTTTAAATTTCTCATTGGTATTAAGTCCTATACTATCATCTTTTCTACAGTTCTCTGTGCTTCCCTCTAGTGAGGGTAAAAAAGGACTGCAGATACCTTTTTGTGCAATTCTACTTCTATACAAGACCTTCACAAATTCTCTTCCCTCCTCCTCTCTAGCCCAGCTAACTCCTTGTCCTCTAGATCTAACTACAAATGCCATTTCTTCAGAAAGCCTTTCCCTTACTTACCTACCCAATCCAAATGTGGCCCCTATTATTCTCTTATAATATCCAGTAACATCACTTTGTGACATTGTCATAATCTGTAATTACATGTTCGTGTGCATTTGGTTAACACTTACCCCAGCTCCCTTCCCATTCAAATACAAGCTCTGGGCAGGCAGGGGCCATGTCAGTGTTGCTCACATCTACACATCCGATTCCAGAATGGTGTGGCACACAGTAGGTACTCAGCATAACTTTGTTAAATGGTTAGCAGCTTTTCAATAGAGGCCTCAGATTTTCTAAACACGGTATGCTCAGTACCAGCTTTTAGTTTCTTGGGATACAAACTGTTCACGGTGCCTTCTGAACACAGGGCCCTGTCAGGGCAATAAACATATTTTTACAAATGTCTGCTCTAGTCTTCATACTCTTGTGATTGCTGCTTTAAATGCATGGTTAGTCCTCACAGTGGCCCTGCAAGGTAAGGATTATCACCCCATTTTACAGACAAGGATGTCAAGATTCCAAGAGGTCAGATTCCTCACAGTCATACAGCTAGGAAGCAGAGGCACAACCAGAATTCAAACCCTGCTTAGAGCCCAAGGTCTGTGCTTCTTTGGCTCAGTCTCTACTTCTCAACCAGGGTGCACAACCCCCAGGGGCACGCAGTAGGCCCGAGCATAAGGGAAAGGACAAAACCAACATGTGGCCCACTTCTGGGATTCTGGTTTTTTCCTGATGGTAAATAACATGATATTTTTGTGTTAAATAAAAAGACATATATTTGAAAAGATAATATGTAAGAAATTTAAAAGACAAAACACAAAAGTTAAAAAAGAAATTTCATGCCTGTTGTCCAGGCCTCTCTCAGGAAGCTCCATGGAAAAACACAAGACTCACTTGTCACTCTTTTTTCCTTTGTCCCTTAACCTTGTTGCTGTATTTTTTTAATGCCAACATTCCAACTCAATCTTCATTTTCCACTCCCACCCTCCTTTCACTGGAAAAATTCAAATATTTTTAAAAAAACAGCAGTGTGTCAGACATGGGCATGTCATTTTCAAAAGCATTAGTCATTTGAGGACACCTTTTTGTAGGTACAATAAATCTGATTGACTTTTATTACACATTTTAGTTTAGAATCACTCTTACATTCCTAGACAAAGAGATGATACAAATAAATATCAATTGTAAAACTTAAGAGCCCCAAGTATTGGCATATTCTTTGTCTAAAAGTAGTCAAAGAGAAGGTCAAGATTAACAGTAACTCCAAAGAGCCAGAAAGCCCACGGCCTCTCCTGGCCCAGGATCACTCCTTTCATAAATAACCTCAAAGCATTTCATTCAAGAAACAAAAGCGAGGAGAAAGGTGGCAGATTTCCAAACAGTGCAAGACAAAACCTTGCATGACAGACAATAGCCAGGCCAACTATTCTTATCCAGTTCCCTGTGAGCATTTTGATTATGGCTTTTAGAGTATATTAATAGCTCCATTTTCATCCACTAATGGTGTTGAGACAGTCCAAGGTGTTTGCAGTGAGCCTTGATCTCAAGTGGGAAAATGTGAGGCAGAACTGATATCCCATGTTAACAGGGAATCAACACTTCTCAGAAACTTGGCAACGATTCTACATTCAGTGAGGGAGGACTTACAAAAGTCAAACCAGAAAAGCAGAGAGTGGCCCACGCCTGAGCTGCAGAACTCTCTGACACCCTCGGTCACAGAGGTGTGGGTGGTGCAATTCAAGCAGCATGCAGGCAATCAATGAGGAAACAATCCAACATTAGGTCACAGTCTTAAGAAAGTGCTTCATGCCTATGGTTTGTAGCCTTGGGTTCTGAATCCAGGGGTCCGGGAGACATGTGACTTTAAAATATGAAGCCAGATACATTCCTACTGATTAGAGCAAAAAGAGGTCTGGCGAGGGTTGCACCCACAGTCTCAAACTCCTCCCAGATGACTGACTTAGATCCTGTTTAGACTTGCTTCTAGATTTCACTAGCTGCTGCTGTCAGGAAGGTCCTCAGATGGCTTGGAACATTCTAGCATGACTACAGACATGAAAACTTGGTTCCTTATTGGGCTTGGTTGGCCCTCTACACATCTGGCTCAATTCAGAGCCCACAGCAGCAGCTTTCTAGTAGCAGTAAGACATTCTACTACTGCCTGCTCTATCCAACTACTCCTCAGATCCATTTTGAGAGAAGGAAAGCACCGGAGACTGGGAAGGGACAGCTTCTCCTCCGTACAGGTGTTCTTCCACATCGCACAGACTGCCAGATGAACACAGCTGAGTACAAGGCAAGCGTGTTTCAGTAATTATGCCTGCCAACTTGGCTTTCTTCTTCTGCCTTCTTAGAAAAGTTCTATGGTCACAACCATCGTTGGTCAGAATTGCCACCTCAAGACATCGATATTAAGGTATAGTGTTATCTGCAGTGTTCAGTTCTCAGACTTGCTAGATGAATGTTTTCAGCCTACAGAATTCAGACAAGCTTTGAGGAAACATTGTGTGAGAGACAGGTGTAACCAGCAGATAACCACCTTAGGCTATCCATCTCATCACTTGGTTCCTTATTCAAACAGGTTAATTCTTAGTAAATAAGAAAGCAAGGTTTGATCCCAAGAAAGATGAGAAAAGGCTCCATTATGCTCTGGAAATTGCTGAATAGTGCCCTGGGTTCAGAATGAATGTTAACTAAAAAGGAGATAAGCTGCCAGATGACAGATCTCTGTCTGTAGAATGCTAAGACATTTCCCATGGGTTCTGACCCAAAAATGTGCCCTGGGAACTGAGCAGCTAAGTTCAAATATAACTCAAGGCCCACCTGTGTCGCCACCTTCCTGAGGCACCGTGCCAGCACAGTGCACCAGTGTGGCAGACCTGGGGACTCATACTGACCCTCAGGCTTGGCTCATGGACTCTGACACCCACCTGAGAGTGCTTCCAGCCTGAATTAGTCATTCAGTGGGCCTTTAATACAGACAAGGCAACAACTGCACATTCGTGTTATTTCTAAAATTGGGCAAGTTCTTGGTCTCTCTCTCTCTCTTACAGACACACATGGACACATTCAAAGAACACAGGCACCATTGCACTTGCACACCCACACACACTTATGAGCTTCTCCTGGGGGAAATGAGTAACATTCATCTAATGACCAACATAGAATGAACCTTTGCATTTCAGTAATACAAAGAACTAAAACTTAAAAACCAAACTAGTGTATGTAAACAGGAATTCCTACTCTCTCCTCTGAACCTCTTCAATCCTCCAGTCACTCCACCATCTTAGGCGCTGCCTGCCGGGAGCCACACTTCTAGGACCAAGTGAGTCTTCCGCTGAAGGCAGGCAGGAATTCATTACTCCCAACTGTTGCACGTTCCTTTCCCCTGCACCAAGCCTCATGTCTCTGTCTCTGCATCTGCCTAGTCACCTTTATGTTCTCTATGCAAAAAACAAACAAAATTGGGAATTCAAAAGTGCCACTATATGTCTTGTTTCCCCAACTTATCCTATTAGAGAAGGCAGATCCAGCCTCCCTTCTCCCATACAGCTGGCCTACTCTGGAGGCAGAGGATGGGTTCTAGGCAGGGACGCTCAGAGTATGTGTGCATGGGAAAAGATGGTGATGAACAAAGAGCAAAGTGACACGGTATATGGACATGGTTTCAGCTTACAGATTCATGTCTTTGACAGGATGGTCATGGTTTTGAGGTTTTAAAGAAGCTGTTCCCTAAACTCTCCAAGGAGGCAAAGGGAATGTTATTTCTATTGCTTCCAACATCGAACCCTTCAGGAGCAGAAATTGGTGGCTTCCTTGGAAAACATTTCCTCATTGAGAAGATTCACTTCTTACTGAGGTGCGTGGATCATGTCCTCTGGGGGCCGGGATCCAAATGAGATTTCATTTCTACCTACAAGAACGAGTGCCTGCTCAAGTTCTAGGGCTTTCACTTTTCAACCTCACTGTTGTTTTACGCTGAGGCTCCAAAGACTTGGTTCTGCTAAGGTGACTCTTGATTCTGTCCTAGTGTTCAACAAGAAGGGAGCCCAGTGTAAAGAACAGGCTAGAAAAGGAGTGGAGTGGAAGGGAGGGCAAGGGAAGGGAGAGGGGAAGCAAGGTCACTGGTCATTCTCTTGCTTTCCACTTCAACTACCTCACTCGACCATACCCATGCATTTCTGAGATGCTAATTAAAGGACATTTCCCAGAGGAGCAGAGTGCCAGATTAGGACCAGCACGTTTCTACCAGATCAAGTTGGTTAATCTGCAAAGAGATCATTGCTTCTCCCCAGGGGAATGATTCTGAGTCCTCTCTGAAGGTTTCTGTTGGTCTCTTCTTTCAGAAGGCAAATGCTGTTTCCACCCCGGGAAAGGAGGAACTGGCTTTACTTTGGAACCAGCCCCCGAGACTGTGGATAAAGCTGAGATGCAGGGGTTCCTGAGGAAGAGGAAGAGGATCCCGACTTCCTTCCGCTTTTAGGCCTGCAAAAGTCAAGCACATGCTTACATTACATGTCCTTCCATCTTTGCCTCTGAGACAGGTCAGACTCCTTTCCCTTCGAGTGCCATTAACATTTCAAGGAGGCCTTTCCCCACCAGCCTGAAAGCCGGTGTGCTTTCAGCTGTATAACTATCAGACTGGCACAGCCTCACCTCTGCTCGTGGCCACCACAACCTGCCAACAAGTGTGACCCCCTCAGGGCAGGAATGCCAATTCTCAGCAGTTGTTGGCCTACTTAAATCAAATCTTGTCTTCTCCAAACTGAAGAAAAAATATTAAGAAAATATTGTTTGCAGGTGGAATTTCTTCCATTTTTTATTTTTCACCGAGTTATTTTCCTTAAACTTCTAATCCAGAACTTGGTAAAATAGGATTTCTAATTTAACACCAAATTAAGTACTTGGCTACTAAACTGGGTGAGGTAAATTCAGCACTGAGGCTCAGAACCAGGGTTGTAGATTTAGACAGATGTTTGAACCCTGGCTCTGCCACTTATTCCTTGAAGTTGGCTACTTTTTCAAATTCTCAGTTTTCTCATCTATAAAATGGAATTGACTGATAATATTTAACTTAATAAGTTTTTGCAGGAAATCATTACAAGGATTTTTTTAAAGCACTTAGAACTGCCTGATCCACAGTGGGGACCAAAGAACTGTTCCCTATTTCACTGGAACCCATATTCCTCCTACTAGAAACAAGGTACATTAGGCATTGTGCAATTCAGTGTGCCTGGCATGATGCCTGAACCATAAATATTTGTGAAATAAATGAATAAACACAGGAGTAGCATGGCAATATTTTCTGGTGTGTTCTGTAAAGCATTCCATGATAAACAAGCACTTTTGTCACCTTCTACCTTTGTTTGTCCTTGTTCAAACAAATTCTGTTCAAATGCAGATCATCAAAAGCCACTCACCTGGCCTTAGATTTCTTATTTGCAGAGCTTTCAAAGGATGATGCATCCACCTGTATCTCATCTTCATCCTGCAGAGCTGCATCCAATGCAGCCTGGACTTTGGGGGCAATGGCTGGGCCTTCATAGTCTCTGGTGGTCCGGCTGGGCATGTCCAGCTCCAACAGCACAATGTTTTCAGCCTGCAGAAGCACAGCCAGAACCAGCTAGGTTGGCCTCCAACCACAGAGAAACAGAGCAGTCTAGACCCCCTCCAAGAACACAACTGCAAACTGCTTGCTCCTCAGAGCCTACCAAGAACCTGCCTGAAAGAAAGAAGTGATGTAGTTTTATAGCTTTTCTTTTGGAGGGATTATGGATGATTTTTATTTCCTTCTCTAGGCTTTTTTCTTTTATCTTTTCTATATTAAAAAAATTTTTTTTTAACAATGAAAGATGTGTTATACCCTAAGGGAATAATCAGGGAAAAATAATAAATTTAAACCCACTTATTTATTGAAGACAATGTGAAAATACAAAAACTATAAAGAAGAAAATAGTAATCACCAATCATTTCAACACCTACAGCAGCTTTGATGAACTTTTTGGTGGTCAAGGGGAGGAAGCATGTATGGTACATGTATGTGGCACATACATGTGTGGCCATATATGTGCTTGAAACCACATTTTAAAAATCAGACTGGGCCTCTCCTCATAACTGACTTGTGGATGGATTCCTTCACTGGCTGCCCTGTGGTGGGCCTTTTCCTAGCTCCTACATACTAAGGCAAGTGTGCGGAGGGAAGAGAACCCGTAGTCACACATCTTCTCCTCCAGTTCCTCGCATTCAGTGCAGTTCAAGCCCCAGGGCTCTGGAGGGGGCAGGAAGGGCCACTGCAGGGCAAAGGTGGGGAGAAGCAGTAGCTCCATGTAGAAATTTCATATATTGAGATAATAATTAGAATTTCTCTTATTGGAGTGGGTCCTCTGCTGAAAATATCTCAGAGGTACTGCTTTAAATTCTACCTTTGGAGCACTTAGCCTCCTGGAAACCCGCATATTTGATCTATAGGCTTTAAAATAATGTTTTTGACTTTCAGACAAGAAGGAACCAACAAGATCTGCACCCTCTGAAACTGCTAGAAAAATGTTTTGGAGGATTCTGTCTGACACATCACTCATTTTCCACTGTATAAAACCCGCTCTAATACAAAGTTTTTGCTTTTGTTTTCTTTATTTTAAATAACCCAGTGCCAAGAAGAACAGCACCTGAGGAGCTAACTAATCCTGTTTTGCTCTGGCTGATGGGGGAGACTCAAAACACTTAAAATTTTTTCAGTGAAAAATCTTTCATTATAAAAATAATACAGGTTCCCCACTGACAGTTAAAAATACAGATAAGCAAAAAGAAGAAAATTTATATTACGTATACTTTCATTAATCAGATAACCAGTTCACATTCTGATATATTTTGTGCTAGATTTTTTAAATTCATATACAGACTTCCAGTACCAAAGATTTTACAATTTAACAATACATCGTGTCTCCTTGTTCATCAACTTACCAGCTACCTACTAAGCTAAGCCACGGGACCTACTGCATAGAGTTGGTGGAAGCATTCAATTAGAGAAAGCAGTGGAGCGCTGAGCATGTGCTTATGAGGCTCATACAGTAGTATTACTATAAAATGTGTTTGGATCATTAAATAGTCCTTAATTATGTTATTTTAAGTAAATGACTGACCCACATTATGTTAAATGGAAGTACCGTAAGTTCTTCAACACACCTCCATCTCCTGTCATTAGACATCTATATTCTTCCTGGTCTTCCAACAGAGCTGTTTTGAAGCTTACTGTTAGAATGTTTGTACTCTTTCCTTCTCTAGTCCTGATTTTCTACATCTCGTTCTATTTTACTTTTTTACTGACAACGGTTATTTTCATTTGTTATTTTCTATTTGCTGTAATTGTTGTGTTACTATAAATGTCCTCGGGTACCTCTGAAAATAGTCAAATATAAACTCAACTTTGCAGAATGGTGCCTAACATACATCTAAGCTCCTCTAGGAGAGAAAGGAGAGAAAGAACAATCTTCTCACCCTGTATCGGGCCTCTGGACGAATCATCATAGACATTCTTGCATGTTGGCTCAATGGTCTCTTATATCCCACAGCTGAGACTGGCCGCTTCATCATCTGCTGGTGCCTAGAAATGGACTGCAGTGGTCAAAGACCAGGATGGAGTGTGTTTCACAGTCCCAGGACTGGTCCTGTGGAACCAGCACTAAGAAGACTCTGAGCCTACTTAAATAGAACCTGGACGGAGGGCTGACATGTAAATGGGGCAGGGACTGCTTATATTTTCTGCTTGAGTTGCTTTCTGATTCAAATGTGAGCATCATGCATCTTCTAACTTGGAAGGCTGTTCTTAGATGGCAGGCACAAAGCATTGCTCTCAACACTCCCCACCCCTGCACCCTTGGTAGACATGTCCCATTTTTCCAGCAGGACCCAGACTTAAGACTAAGAATCCTTCTCAACACAGTGTCAGACTGACACACAATGTAACACCTATGCACAGTCCCTCATTTGGCCTAGCATGCTTCATTTGACAACCAAGGGAGCTGATATGCAGGAAATTGGGAAAGGTTGTTAGTTCACTGATAAAGTCTCCCAATTCCTAATACCATACTCATTATCAAACTCCTACCTCGTGGACCTATGGCAGTCACAATGTCAGAGATGCAGTTGGTTCCAGGTTTAAATGAGTTAAACTGTGTTTACCATACCCCTCTGACCAAGTCCAGTTTATCAACATTCTTTCCCTCCTCCCCACCTTAAAGTCTACTTAAAGTCAATAGTTACTTACTCCAGTCTGGTTATAGGATGTAATTTCCAATGATCTTCCTCTTCATCAAAGAAGGATCTATTCATAATTTTACTTTTTTCTTCCAGAGGGATAAAGTTTTCTATAATAAGGTGCCTGTAAGAGCACACATATGTGGGTGAATGAAGATGGAGAAAGACTACAGATGCAGTATTGGCTATCTGGCCCCAGTCACTCAACAAACACTTGCTGAGTAGGTTCTGTGGGCCCACCATCACATAGAGAGCTGAATAGAGACATGAATGATGCTGCATCCCTGAAGCACTCTTAGGTATGACAGGTGCTGACAGGGGTCTGCCCTAGGAATATGGAGTCACTCTGGCCCAAGAGGAGCAGTTAGAGGAAGTGAAAGGACTGAAGAGGGAGACAACGCCCCAACACTTCTGTAGTGAACATGCGTGACTTGAGGTATCTTTTGGAGAGCCACTGGTACTGCTAACCAGCTCCTTAACTTCCAAAAGTAGAAATTAAACTGCCTTCCTCCAGTTGCATGGATTGGAAAACTTCACATTATAATCACCAGGACAAAGAGCAGGACCAAATAAGTTTCAGTCCCTTAGACCACTGAGAATGAAGACCATTCCTGAGAAGAGTCTCTGCCCCAGAAGGCCCTCAGGGAACACAGTAAACAATGAAACTGGTACTGTCTGGGTTGTGTCTTTCTATGGTAATGACTGTTTCCTGCTACATCTCTGCATTCACTCTTCCAAAACCGTCAGGACAGAACAGTGCCAAGGGGGTGTCATCATGGGACAGATATACAACGAACACCACAGAGGCCACAGGGTCCTGACTGTGAGGAACAGGCTGATTCACTGTTTATTCAGGAGATATAAATAGGAGATACAACAGTGAAAATGGCTTCCTTGGAGAGGAAATCTTTTGGAGAGATGAAATTTTCTATTTATTTTATTTGACATTTAAGAAGTTATTTTTCATAACTTTTTATTTTAAAGGTCCTATTTATACATTAGGAAATGTGAAAAATACAATTACACACAATTTCACTATCCAGAGATACTATTAGTATTTGGCCATATTTTGTTCCAATCTTTTTTCCAAGGTGTACATACCTAGAAAGAGAACTGACACATACATTTAATTTTACTTTTAACTTCCAAGTTTAAAACTTGGCCATTAAAAGAATCCCTTTGGAAATGGAAATGTCTTCTTTAAAGATGAATTCCTGCTCATGCTGTGACAGGACTGACACAGGGAAATGTCACTTGGCAACCCCTAATGAAATAAGGGGTCATTGTTGGTTCAAACTATTAGCTCCATAGTTGTCGAGCTGGGCTGCACATTAACATCACTACACAATTCTGAAAAATATCTTGCCAGAACCTCATGAGAGGACAATGGTTCTTAAAGTGTGTTCACCAAGCCAGCAAGAGCAACAACTGAACTTGTTAGAAACACAAGGCTTAACTATTTACAATAGCCAAGATATGGAAGCAACCTAAGTGTCCATCAGTAGATGATTGGATAAGGAAGATGTGGTACATATACACAATGGAATACTATTCAGCCATAAGAAAGAAACACATCCTACCATTTGCAACAACATGGATGGAGCTGGAGGACATTATGCTCAGTAAAATAAGTCAGGCAGAGTAAGACAAATACCAAATTATTTCCCTCGTTTGTGGAGCATAACAACGAAGCAAAACTGAAGTAACAAAACAGCAACAGACTCAACAGACACCAAGAAGGGACTAGCGCTTACCAAAGGGAAGGGGTTGGGAAGGGTGAGGAGGGAGAAAGGGATTGTGGGGTATTATGATTGGCACACATGGTATGGGGGGGATCATGGGGAAGACAGTGTAGCACAGAGAAGACAAATAGTGACTCTGTGGCATCTTACTACACTGATGGACAGTGACTGCAATGGGGTATGGGGGGGACTCGATAATATGGGTGAATGTAATAACCACATTGTTTCTCATGTGAAACCTTCATAAGAGTATATATCAATGATACCTTAATAAAAAAAAAAAGAAGGAAAGGTAAGGCTGAGAGCTGAGGCTGAGAACCAGGGCTTTGGAGCTAGCTTTCAGTTAAAGGGAAATGAGGAATACAAAGACACAAGTGACATGACACCATGAAGAAGCAGAACAGCGAATCCAGGAATGTGGGATGTTTCTACAGGCTATCTGACCCAGCGTTTTCAACAAGTCAACTGTAAAAAAGGTTTTTAAAAGGAAAAGGGATTCCTCCAGATGAAAAAAGCTTAAAAGACATAACAACCAAATGCTATGTTGTGGTCCCTATACAGATCTTTAAAAAAGCTAACCAAGAGGGATAGTGGATTCAAGATGGCAGCATGAGAGGTGAGACAGAGAACTCCTCCCAAAACCACAAATAGTATGAAAATATAGTTAATACAACAAACCCTAAAACAGCAGCAGGAAAGAAGGCTGAACCAGACTGCATACAGACCTCAAGAACAGAGCAGACCTCACGAAACAGGGTAACGTACCAAAGCCTCGATCTGGCAGGACCCAAGCCCCTCCCCGACCCCAGCTCACTGGCAGGAGGAAGAGAAACAGAGCAGGGAGGGCATGGAAGCCTGGGAGTGCTAAACACCCAGCTCTGGAGGTCTGCTTTAGACCACAGACCTACATTGTGTGGTGCTCTGGACATTGGGGAATTGGGACAGGTGGAGTGTTTGAGAGACTGAGATTCCAGCTGTGTGTATGGAGGTTGGGGATCCACATCCAGCTGCTCTGGGACAGAGGAAAGACAGGAGGTCTGAGAGGCTTCTTGGCAGTGAGAGGGCTGCTGAAGGGGTGAAGTTTGCATGGACCTTGCTGCGCGGGAGAAGGGAGAGGTGGACAAGGTTGTCTGGGTGCGCTCTACCCAGCAAGTTGGGAACTTTGAGGAGCTTCAGGCGCTCCATCCCCCAGCTGGCTGCTCAGCTCTGGGGCCCCCCACTGTGACACACAGCCTGCCAAGCCTTCCTCCTGGCCTGATGGCACCGGCTAGCAAACCAGCAGTCACTGCACTGGCATCAGGCCAGTCAGAGGGAGGCCCCGCCTACAACAGCTAGAGACACAAAGCACAGAGGCTTACACCTGTGTGCTTGGCCCACTGGCTCTGATACTGGAGACAGACACTGCAGACGGGAATCAGGGAATGGATCTTTCTTCCCCCCAGGCACCAGCTCCACTCCCCTACGATCCCCAACCTCACTCTAGGGGCTGAGCAGCTCCAGAGACTGGAGCTTCTGGGCACTAGAGGGCACCACACAGAAATATGAAACATCAAAAGAACATGGTTCAGACGAAAATCACACAAACCCCAGAAGAAGGGCCAAATGAAACCGAACTCACCAATCTTCCTGAAAGAGAGTTCAAAATAAAAATCATAAACATGTGCATGGAGGTACAGAAAAATATTCAAGAACCCAGGAATGAATTTAAGATAGAGATTCAATGAAACATATAATGGAGGGATTTAAAAGCAGATTAGATGTAGTAGAAGAGATGGTAAATGGAATAGAAATTAGAGAAGAGGAATACAAAGAAGCTGAGGCACAGAGAGAAAAAAGATTCTCTAAGAATGAAAGAATATCAAGAGAACTATGTGATCAATCCAAACCGAACAATATTCGCATTATGGGGATACCAGAAGAAGAAGAGAGAGAAAAAGGGTTAGAAAGTGTCACTGAGGAGGTAATTGCTGAAAACTTTCCCAATCTGGGGAAGGAGGTATTTTCTCAAGCCATGAAGGTGCACAGATCTCCCAACACAAGGGACCCAAGGAAGACAACATCAAGACATATGATAATTAAAATGGCAAAGATCAAGGATAAAGACAGACTTTTAAAAGCAGCTAGAGAGAGAAAAAATATCACACACAAAGGAAAACCAATCAGGCTATCACCAGATTTCTCAACAGAAACCTTACAGGCCAGAAGGGAGTGGCATGATATATTTAATGCAATGAAGCAGAAGGGCCTCAAACTGAGAATACTCTACCCAGCAAGGTTATCATTTAAATTTGAAGGAGGGATTAAACAATTTTCAGATAAGCAAAAGCTGAGAGAATTTACCTCCCACAAACCACCTCTACAGTGCATTATGGAGGGACTCCTATATATGGAAGTATTCCTAAGGCTAAATAGATGTCATGCAAGGGACAGACAAAGAGTACCAAATATGATTCATAACATACAAAGAATAGAGGAGGAAGAAAAAGAAGAAAGAAAGAAAAAAGAACTGTTAGGTTGTGTTTGTAATAGCATATGAAGTGAGTTAAATTAGACTGTTAGATAGTAAGGGAATTAGCCTTGAACCTTTGGTAACCATGAATCTAAAGCCTGCAATGGCAATAAGTACATACCTATCAATAATCACCCTAAATGTAAATGGTCTGAATACACCAATCAAAAGACACAGAGTAATAGAATGGATAAAAAAGCAAGACCCGTCTATATGCTGCCTATAAGAGACTCACTTCAAACCCAAAGATATACACAGACTGAAAGCAAAGGGATGGAAAAAGATATTTCATGCAACTAATAGGGAGAAAAAAGCAGGAGCTGCAGTACTTGTATCAGACAAAATAGACTTCAAAACAAAGAAAGTAACAAGAGACAAAGGACATTACATAATGATAAAGGGGTCAGTCCAACAAGAGGATATAACTATTATAAATATCTATGAACCCAACACAGGATCACCTACATATGTGAAACAAATACTACCAGAATTGAAGGGAGAAATAGAATGCAATGCATTCATTTTAGGAGACTTCAACGCACCACTCACTCCAAAGGACAGATCAACCAGACAGAAAATAAGTAAAGAGACAGAGGCACTGAACAACGTATTAGAACAGATGGACCTAACTGTTGGGGACGGCCTTTGTCTTCTCACATGTTTGTAGGCAGAATGGGAAAGCACCTTCCCCCATGTCTGAACGCAGCATGGGAAAGCACAAGCTTGAGAGCAACCGGTGCAGTCCTTGGAAGTTATCTGCCCACAAAAACATATCTTGTCCTCGAAGATGAGCTAAGACTCCTCACTTTGAAAATACAGAGACCTTGAGGATGTGTGAAAATACCACCCCTGCTTCTGGCCTGCCCCCCCCTG